TGGACGCTCATAAAAAAAATATAAATAAATAAAAATAAAAGAAAAAAAAAAAACACAGACATACAAACATAAATTACAAAGTAACAATCAAAACATGAGAGAAAATAACAATACCAGAGAAAAAAAAAAAAAAAAACACCATTGAAAGTGTCTATAGAAGTGTCCGAAAACGTTGGGAAGAATAATTATTATGGACAATTTTTATATTTCTTATCTCCTAAAAAATGGAAAAATATTAGGACACTGGAAAAAAAAAAACATTAAGTCAATCATCCTTGTCGGCTGTATTCAATGAAATGTTTCAAAAAAAAAATGTTGCTATATACTAATAAATATAATATATATATATATATATATATATATATATATATATATATATATATATATATATATATATATATATATAATAATCATTTATTCGAAAATTATAACATAAAAATGTTATAAAATCACTACAAAAAATAGCCATTCTTTTCAGAACTTCTGGTGTCTTATCAAGTGATGATGTTGAATGTAGAATAAAGGGTTTTAAAATCAAACACTGTTACATAAGCTGGAATGACCAATCAAAATACAAGTATACGAGAATTCAAAAAACTCGACAACGAACTAAAGTTATAATAATTATTTAATGCTTTAATATTGGGGTTAGACTAAAATAGAATTCATTCTAACTAATAAATATTAAATTATACGATAAAATTAAAAATTACCAATTTTAAATTCTTCAACTAATTTTATAATTTTAAAATTAATATAGTCATGTAATCATGTATAATCATCTTTTTAAACATTTAAATTACTATGAAGCTTCACTTGATATTCTATTCAGTAATATTCCCTATTTCATAAAAAATATATATATATATATATATATATATATATATATATATATATTTATGCAAACTTAGGTAATCCGTATGGGTAGACCTTTATAGGAGGATGATATCCAGAGAGCTAAATGTAAAATTTTTGAGCAGATATGTTTGAATAAAAACAGACCACGTTAAGATTCCATGTAATAAGATATTTCACTATAAACCCTTTTTACAGGGTTCTGGATCATCAGACTTTATCTTTCAAAAAGAAAAAATAAATATATATATATATATATATATATATATATATATATATATATATATATATATATATATATATATATATATTACATAAATTCGTACCTACGTTTTTGGGATGATTATTTATTTGCTTACCCATTTTACGCACACCAGCACATGCATACAAGTACTCATATTTGGCCGTTTCATTTGTCCATTCTACAACACTATATATATATATATATATATATATATATATATATATATATATATATATATATATATAGCATACCTACGGACGATAATGGGTTTGTTCGCATTCACATAAATACAGTAGTAAATACTGCATGTTGGTCTATAATTGAGATTCATTGGTATTCACGTAACTCACTTCTAGCAATTGACTACTATATTTAACGCACTGAAATTAATCTTATATGTGTTGTTCTTGTCCTAAGTATTATCGTTCATTATTGTGATTCTTCTATTCATTAACCTTCCCCAAAATACAACAATATATATATATATATATATATATATATATATATTTTATATAAATTATTATATATCCAGTAATTAGGGTTTTATTCTGTATGATTATTTATTTGCTTGCTCCCCTATGCACACCAGCACATGCGTACACGTCTACTTATATTTGGCCGTTTCATTTGTCCATTCTACAACACTATATATATATATAACATGACTTTGTTGTCAAGCTTTTTGAATTTTCCTATACTTGTATTTTGATTGGTCCATCTAGCTTTTGTGACAACGGTTTCCCCTTGTGAAGGATTGTTAATTAATTTGAAACTTTTAAAACCATTTATTTTACATTCAACATCATCACTTGATAAGACACCGAGTGTGTTGAAACAAAATGGCTATTTTTGTCGTGATTTTATAACATGTTTATGTTATAATTTTTTTAAAAATAAATAATTATATATATAAATATTTTTTTAAATGTTTTTAAAATAAATAATTATATATATATATAATAAGTTAGTAAAACAAGTACAAAAGAAAGGTTACCAGTAATCAGTACGATAAAGACTTATTAAATAATAATTATTAACCATATGATAGAAATGAAAGACACAAAAAAAAAATTAAGTTCAGAATTTTTTAAATATAAAAATGTCCTTCATCAACGGACCGAGTAATAAACAGATAAAACATAATTACTTCTTAAACTAAGATATTTTTTTTATTTTTATTTTCCAGTGGAAAAATTTTTGATCGGTGTAAACCTTTTTTTTTATTCATTATATATATATATATATATATATATATATATATATATATATATATATATATATGTATCCAATGCAATGAAAAATGAAAGTAATATATAAATTCTAATGTTCACAATATTAATCCAAAATAGGACTGATACTGATAGTAGAGCGATAATTATTTTTATTATAATCATTTTCATATAGACAAAATTAAAATTTTTCTTCAAATTAAAGATGCAAATTCGTTTTTTTTTTTTTTAATTGCACCTCGACAGGAAGAAACCAATGGTTATCCATTGTTTTAACCATTAGATAAACATTGTTGATTCTCACCCGACGAAATTTGCAATTGAGATCTTTGTAGTGAGTAAACTGTTCTTGTCATATGCAACATTATAATATATATATATATATATATATATATATATATATATATATATATATATATATATATATAAAAGGCAGGATGTGTTTGTGTGTAACGAATGCACGGTCGCAATTTTCGACGGATTTGCACCCAAATTTACATGCACATGCTCTAAGTTAGCGGAAGGCCAAGACCGACTTTGCATTTCCCAACTTCCATCGATAGTGAAAATAATCGATTTTTTTCATGCTTCTACGGCAGTTTTCATGTAGTTTGCGGCCATTTTTCTACTGGCCAGAGTGAGAGCCCTATAGCTGGCTGCCACGAATAAGGCAGGAAGATTCTATTGGCCAGCGTGAGAGCCAACAGCTGACTGACACGAATGTTAACTAGCATGCTAGCATGCAAAAAAAGTAGATAGCTGCATTCGTCACAAGTGGGAAAAATTTAAATCTGCATGGCACTTTACTCCAATTGGCTCATTCGCTTGCTTAAACTCAACGTTGATTCTGATCCCGCAGAACTGGGTTGGGTGTGAAAAAGTATTTGTTGTTAACATTCTTTTTTCATTCGGTTTTTCCAGTTACGAGTCTTTTTTTTTTAAAGCTGATCGTTTTGAGTTCATTTTGTTTAGTTCTTTTTTTTTCGTAACAGATTTAATGTTTAGTATAGAGCTTCGAAAAAATTCGCAGTGTGAGATAGGCAAGAAGTAAGGCATGTAGCAACATCAGCACCGCAAAGGGCAATCCTTTAAAGGCAAGGAAGGGCAAAAATATTTTAAGTCAAGTGATAGCGATTGCTGTATGAGTCTTACGATTTTTGAATCAAGCACGGACAACGCCGGGCCATGCTGCTAGTATATATATATATAAGTAATAGAGTTTGGGGGATTTAGTTAAATCATTATAGTAATTCATCGAGTCTAGAAGAATCC